CAGATGAGTAGGGGGGTGCGAGGAGGGATAAAAGTTCAGGTTCAGTAGGTTCGTGGGGGTTTTTGTTGGTTTTATTTTTATCATTTTTAGATTTCCGTGTCTGTTGACGTATACGGTCCTAACAGAAATGTGACTGATCTCTCTGAATGTGAAGGGTCTGATTCATTAAGTACTCAGAAGTCAGGGGTGGGAAACTCCTGGAAAGACGAAAAAAATTCTGGTCTATCGTAGATTAGAACCCGAGCCACGTAGATTAAAAAAACAGCTGAAGACTTTGTCAATAAGTTAGGGTTTGAGCTGTCGTAGATTAGAGCTTGGGCCACATAGATAGAAGACAGCGACAGACGTTGTCAGAAAGTTAGAATTTTAACGCCAGCAAAACGGTGACTTGCACCGAATGCTTCCAAGGAGGCTGATAACGTTTCAAAATGTTCGCTTTTGTCTGAGTCAAAATAAACTGTAAAGTGCATAGAGACAACTTCCGAGCAGGGATGAGGGTCGTATAAATGCATTCTATTATTACGCCTATCGTTAAATAATCAGACTACTAGTTTGACTGAATCAACAGAAAAACCGTGTTTGTTGTGCAAAAATAAAGCGGGTAGGACTTTTCAGATTACTGGAATATTCTGGTAATAATAGATTACTTAAACAAGATCTGAGCATGGTCCCAAACAGGGGACGATATTTGAAACCCCAGGACAACAGTTGAAAGAGGGATATGACGTGTTTTGCTGTTCATAGCATTTATTTATCATCCCTTCTAGACAACAAATAGACCCTTTGGAAGGCAGGGCGCTCCGTAACATATCACGGCAGAATACCGAAGTCCGGGTACATGCATGTGTGTGTGGTGGGGAGGGGGGGGAGGAGGAGGATGTGTTAAGAAACTAGTTGGAATTTTTTTCCCCAAACTTAAACAATGACGCAATTGAAACTTGAGCTCGCGGATGTTCGTAACAAACTGGACCTCAGAAGTGCCAGTCGGTGCTGGGTACATACGGTCCATGACTTCATCGTGAGATGGGGCGACCTTGAGATGAGGATGTGTCGAGGTGATTTGTAAGGTGGTCCATGGGACTGAGAGTAACGTTAAGAGAGCACTTTGAGAGCACGTCTGTCTGTGTGTGGGCAGACGGCACTAAAGTGAGAAGGATGTGGTGGAGAGGTGGGGGGGGTATGTGTGTGTGTGTGTGTGTGTGTGTGTG